CTATGCTGCTCCACTGATCTATGTGCCTGTTTTTTTGCGGTACCCTACTATTTTGATTTCTATAACTTTGCAGTATATCTCGGAAATCTGGGGTTGTGATACCTCCAGCTTTTGTTCTTTTTCAAGTTTACGTTGGCTATTTGGGGTCTTTTATGGTTCCATATAAATTTTAGGGTAATTTATACTAGTTTTGTGAAAACTGTTGGTATTTTGATAGGGATTCCATTAAACCTATAGATTGCTTTGGGTAGTATGGACATTTTAGCAGTGTTGGCTCTTCTGGTCCATGAGTATGGAATATCTTTCCACTTGTGTCATTTTCAATTTTTTTCATAAATGTTTCATAGTTTTCAGAGTATGGGTCCTTTACCTCCTTGGTTAAGTTTATTCCTAGGTATTTTGTTATTTTGGGTGTAATTATAAATGGGATTATTTCCTTAATTTTTCTTTCTGCTACTTCATTGTTATTCATTAAAAAAACATTCACCATAATCGAGTGGAATTTATTCCAGGAATGCAGGGGTGGTTCAGTATTTGCTAATCAACCACAATTAATGTGATATATCACATTAATATGAGAAAGAATTAAAAACTATACGATCATCTCAATAGATAAAGAAAAAGCATTTGACAAAGTACAACATCCATTCATGATAAAAACTCAATAAAATAGGTTTAGAGAGAACCTACCTTGACATAATACTATGAAAAAAACCCCACAGCTAATGTCATACTCAATAATGGAAAACTGAGAGCTTTTTCTATAAGATCAGGAAGAAGACAAGGATGTCCACTTTCCCCATTTTTATTCAACATAGTACTGGAAGTCCTAGCCACAGCTACTGGACAAGAAAAAGATAAGACATGATACTATGTATATTTCTTTCTAAGAAATGTTAACCACTGGTTGAACAGAAAGTTTACTAAATCAAATCTCTAAATCCATGATGAGACTGGGTAAATGAATTTCTGTTATACATGTTTGGGTCCTATTTAAAAAACAAAACAATTTGACTTTTTGAAATTATGCCATAATCTTCACCCTAAAGAAAAGTCTATACTAACACTATCTTAAATTCCTTTTGAATAATACCATTAGTTTTTTTTATGTGTTTTATAGAAGTTTTTCATCTGTTGTTTATCACCTATCATATTCTATATTATAGATCATTCTCATATAGTTTACCTAACACTTTTGCCCAGCACTTCAACAATGTTTGGTTTCCTGCTATGTAGCAAGTCAGGAAGAAGGTAATATCACTAGGCTGTGCAATTAATGCTTTAGCTCATTGTTCAGTGCTGGTTGCCATGAGCCCTTCATGATGAGAAGGTGGAATAAAACATACAAAATGACCAGTCAATATAGTTCTTTGTTCTGAAGGAATTTCTGATTGTGTCTAGTTCCAAGAGTTGCATAAATTATTCCTCATCAAATTAGACCACCAACAAATTACCTAGGTGGACCATAGTTACTTGCCTCCTGTAGAAAAACTATCTCTAAGATCTAGACTTAGAAGAGAGATTTTTTTAAGGCACCAAATAAAGAATTCTCCTGAATTGGTTTCTTCATTTTTATTAAAGGCATTCTCCATTATTTTGTTCCCTAGATCCCTTATAAAACTTAATACTAGAAAAAAACAATTTTCTCTCTAGGGGATTTAGTATAATTATTTCCAGTAGAGACTAAGAATTCTATAATTCAGTACATATATTGTGGGAGGATTTACATACATGCCTCTCCTTTTCATGGTTTGGCTTTCTGTTCTTTTACAGCCTTATCTAATGAATGCCTTTTACTCTAAGCTGACTTAAATCTCGTTTTGGAAGGATATAAGATTGGAAACTAAAATGAAAATGATAGAACAGTTTAAGAGTATCTGTAAAAATACTCATTTGACTGTAATCAAGTGGTTACATTCATAGTAGGCTATGCCTTTGAGCACCTTATGAGCTAACACCATCAGGGTTTTAAAGTGTGATGTTAGCAGTAGTCTTCTTGAAGAGCTATAATAGTGATCTTTCCCACCTCTGTACCATCCCCCAAATATTGTCATGATAATAAAAACATCTTTGTCTATTAGTGGTTGGTTAGAAAATGTTTGTGTGTCATTGCTGAAAATCATTAGGTATTTAAATAGCTATTGTCTGTAGTCATACTATGATTTCAGTTTGTATAGTGTTTCCCCCCCATAATTGCTTCAAGGTCTTCATTTAAAGCTGTGGTCACCAGTATTCATTCCTTCTACAGTGGCGTGTCTGAAAGGGGAAGATCAAGCTACAAAGTGGTCTTAGAAGAGGTACACCTTTTAAAAAATGGGAGTGTTTGCTTTCTCATTGGTTGAGACTTAAGTCTGAAGGGGAATCCAAAAGAAATGGGATAGAAATGCAACTTTAAACCTAGGACAGGAAGGTTAATGTGTATTAATATCAGTTTTCTGGTATGCTGCTGTGTGTGTCATTGTGGAAAAAAATGAACATTTCAAACATGGTTATCAAAGCATGTATATTAATGCCAAAGAGCCAAGCTTACATTGTTTTGTTGTAGTCTTAATTAGTAATTACTTTATTACTTTCTATATGTTGGTATCCTGAAGCATAAGCTTTTAGTTCTTCTCCCTCTTTGTTTTTGTTATGCTAATTTGTTTTAATTATGTGACGCATAATTAAAGAAAAAAACTAAAATTCTTCATTGATAGTAAATGCTATCATTAAATACACAATTTTTATTCAGTAAGAGTCTGTCCCACAGAGAGCTAACTGCTTTTTTATTCATAGTGTATTGAAGTTTATGTTTTTGATGATTTATTTTCTAGAACTCATCAGATTAAGTCTTAGCAAATCTTGGTAATTTAAAATAATCCGTAAGTACATTAATATCAGAGATGTGCAGTTTTGTGTTTTTTTTTAAGATTTTATTTATTTATTTGATAGACAGAGATCACAAGTAGGCAGAGAGGCAGGCAGAGAGAGAGGAGAAAGCAGGCTCTCCACAGAGCAGAGAGCCCGATGTGGGGCTTGATCCCAGGACCCTGGGATCATGACCTGAGTCGAAGGCAGAGGCTTTAACCCACTGAGCCACCCAGGCACCCCTGTGCAGTTATTTTTACTAAACTGCCATGACAAAACATAACAAACTAGGTGATTCCCAAATTGAAAATGTTTAGCTTCTTACCAGTATAAGCGTTTTCAGCTCTGTATTTCTGAAATAGTACTTGTATAATTTTACCTGATTTATCAGTGAAATTAATCTTTGCAAGTTTCTTTATCTTACAGATTTTGGAAACCTCAAATCTCAGTCTAGGAGGGGAAGTTTCCAGTTTTACAGTTGGTCATTCACTTATCAAAAAACGTGAAGCACCTACTGTGTGCTGTTGTAGCCGCAAGGGACATTCAAGTGAATGAGAAACAGGTACTACCCTTAAGGAGCATGTGTTACTACGTAGGAAAGAAGTATACACAATGGCACAGTACACAATACTACACAAGTGTAGTATGTTATAAAATGCTATAAAGAAGTATGTATGAGGCATAGCATTAACCCAAAGGCAGGAGTAATCTACAAACTGGGTGCCTTGGTCCAGGGTCTCCTCTAGCTTCTGTGATGTTTCTTTCATCCTTCCTGTCAGTTGCCAGAATTAGGCAAGAAAAGGGTTCGGAGAGAAAATCTGCTTTAACTGAGCTAGAGAAGCCGGACCAAGGGGTGCTCAGGGCCAAAGTTCCCTCATTTGGAGCCAAGGGTGACTGAGCTCCTTAAGGTGAGACTTGATGTCTAAAGAGGGTTTCCTCTTCCTTGTAATCTACTTGAGCAAGGATGTTTGTTCTCATTGATGCATTCACTTCTGCATTTTAAACTTTGTAAGCATTGGGAACTGCATTGGGGTTGGGTTTTTTGTTGTTTTTAAACCGAGGACTTCAAGAATCCAGTTTTGTGTTGGGTACAAGGGCCCTTAATGCAATACAAATGTGTAGACGGCTTAGCTTCAAGGCTCTTTTCAGCTGGGTGCGAACACTTCAGTACCGTGAGAGCTATCTCAAGGTATGGTCCTAAAGTGGATGAAATGATGAAAAATGAGAACGAAATGAGTACTCCCCCCTTTTTTTCTTTTTATATTTAGACTAAAGGAAAAGGAAGGAATGCAAATGGTTGGAAAGTAGAAATAGGCTGGGAGGTAGCTATGGGTAAAACAGGAAGGATAATTAATTCATTGGGTTTCAAGTGCCTGAATCAAGAAATAGGAAGATTAGGAATATAAGGGGAATATCTCAGAGTGCCACATGTAGGTTGGCAATGACACATGACTTTCTACTTGGTTTAAATCTACCGATAGATTAGGTTTTAGCTCTTGGTAATATGTAAAATTATAACCTTTATAACCTTTGTATATAGGTTATAAAAATTTATTGAATTAAGTTCATCTTTATGATTTATTCCTAAATAGTTCTCAATATTATAATGTCCTTAGTCTTTAATTTAAAAACTTGGAGATGGAGGGGGTGCCTCGGTGGCTCAGTCAGTTGAGCATCTGCCTTCGGCTCAGGTCATAATCTCCAGATCCTGGATTCAAGCTCTGCATTGGGCTCCCTGCTTAGCAGGGAGTCATTTCTCTCTCTCTCTCTCTCTCTCTCTCTCTCAAATAAATAAATAAAGATCTTTAAAAAAAAAAAATTGCAGATAAAAGTTGAGTTTTTGCTAAATCTATACAGACATGCAAGTCATTCTGGGGGTCAGAATTATGTTAATGTATTATTTGTGAAATTACAAGCTATTGCTCTACTATAATCTGTTACCATCACTGGTCATTCATATGTATTAGAATTGAAACTCTATAATTACCTATTGCAGTAGGCATGGTGTACTCTTAGTTCATTTAGTGACTACTCTTAGTCTGGCTTTTCAGATTAATGATCTGAAACAAAATATATAGGGAGAAAGAGAGAAAAAGACTATGTGTGTTTCACTGTTCTCTGAAGCTCATTTTATTGACCTTTTTGTAAATTAGATGCTTTCTGATGCAGCGCCCGGAAAACTGAGAATTGTCCACGGAGATGTGTTGACATTTAAGATTGAAAGGGCTTTTCCAGAAAGTCTTAAAAGACAGTGGGAGGATGGTAAGTGATTTTGGATTTTTTTCTTATTTTCTTTTAGAATTATTTATATTACAAATATTTATGTTGTTATGTATTATAAACGTGATTATATATTTATATTAAATATTATCAGAACAGAATTAAGTAGGTGGTATGCATTGTAAATTTTTCTGCTTTTCTACTTTTTTCCAGAATAATAAATCTAATTCCTTTTTCTTAATTTTAATTTACTTGTCATGTTTTTCAAATGTTTAGAATTTTCTTCAAATAAACATGCTATTCTTGTAATACCATATAAGGATGGGATACACTATGAAGTGTTAACTTCTTCCAAATGGTGAAAAAAGAAATGTTTTAGTAAACCATGCCCCATCTTATTTCCACTGTCTTGCCTTCAGTGACCTGCCAAGGCACTGCTCATCTGCAGGCTGTTGATTGGGTACCTGCTGTGTGCCAGCTCTTTGGGATACACTGAGAGGCGGGCTGTATTACTTGCCTGTGAAACCCTTCAGAGCAAATGGAGGCGCTGCTGGCCGGCCTCCATCTAACTTGCCTCCTGTCTCCGCCTTCCAACACACCATTCTCTTCTAAGCGCACTGCCTCCAGGTTTCCAGCCTTGCCCCAGCCATGCTCTAATTTCCTCTTTGAAACCTTATCTGACTGAGCTCTCAGGCATTTATGTGACTGTTACCTGCTCTCTTCCAGAAGCTCTCTGTGCTCCTGTCTTCCGTGATACCAGGTTCTCCTGTTCTTCCTTTTACATGGTGTGAGCTTTCTCTAGCTATTCTTTGCTGGTGGTTATTTTTCCCCCACCTCTTAGATGTTATTTCTGAGGTTTTTATTTTTTGGAGCATCTTCTCTTGTGCTGCAGATTGGCCTGAAGGACTTTGCTCCTGTGGTCCATTGACCATGCGTGTATCGCAGACACTTCCATCTTGGTGCGCGGCCTGTATCCCCTTCCTGGGCATCTGACCCTCTTGTCAGCTACATCTGGTGTAGGGACTTCAACCACATCATGTCCCGATCAAATTGTCTTTTCCCGCAAACCAAGTCTTTATCATATTTTTCCTAAGCCCAAAAACCTGAGGACTCTGAGCACTAATTAAGGTAGAATTTTTTTTCTTAATAATTCAAAGCTAATTATGAGAAAACATTGCCTTTGAAAAATAGAATGAAAAATACTTAGTAGATCTTTTCATATACTTTTGTTTATTACTATTAGTATCCAATTTGATTTAACTAAAATTATATTCAGAATCCATTAATAAAATCTTTACAAGTTGTTTTTTCTCCTACTAACCAGATCCTCCAAATGTACACATTATTGGAAATCTGCCTTTTAATGTATCAACTCCGCTGATTATCAAGTGGCTTGAAAATGTTTCTTGTAGAGATGGACCTTTCATTTATGGCAGAACCCAGATGATGTTGACTTTTCAAAAGGAAGTGGCAGAGGTGAGTTTTAACTTTTTTTGGCTATTTTATCACATGATCAAATTCTAAAATGAAATAATACTGCATTTTTTTCATAGACTATGTTTTCTAAGTTAATACTGCCATTACACACACAAACCAATAAGAGCTCAACCAAAAGTTGAGCCTTTAATGATGATGACAGGCATAAGTGCTCTAAGCACCCCACGGAGAACGTGAAAGCTATGCCGTCCGCCAAAAAGACAACGTAGTCCATGCAGGAACTCAGTAGGGCTATAGAACAATTAGAAACCGAAAAAACCGAGACTGGTGGTGATACAGGAATACGATGATGTTAAAGAATGTGGTAATCAGTTTGGAGAGGGGGAAGGAGGTTGGTGTCTCCTTATGCTGTACATAGGTTTGGCCCAATCCCTACCTTCAGCTGCGTCTTCTGTGCCTGCATTCCCATGGCAGGAATGTTCCAGATTCACTCTAGCAAGTAATCCTACAAGGTAGGCAAGGGCAGTTTGTGAGCTGCAGAGGTTTAATGAGGGGACCTGCAGACCGTTAAGTGTTTTTGAAAAAATTTTTCTTACGACCTACAAATACAGAAGAGGATCTGACATTTTTGTGTGGCTTAATAAGAATACCCGAGTCCCCACCGACTGGCGTCAGTGGTTATATTCCCAGCATCTTTGACACCCCCTCGTATCCCCATTGTGATTGTATCTCCTGTTCTCCACCTGCCACTGAGGTAATCATACTGTGAATTCTGGACTGTTCCCTGCTTAGTTTAAGCCATAGATTCCTAGCTGTATAATTAATATACTTTAGTTTTCTCCATTTTTGAACTTACGCAGATGGATTCATACAGCATGTGTTTTTTTTTATCCTGATTCACTCAGTGCTGCTCATAGCTATAGTTTATTTGTGTAGCTAGATACTACCCACTCTTCGACTAGCTCATAATTTGTCTGTCCCTTGCCATGTTTTGGAACCCCAAATTAGTTTCAGTGTTTGTTATTACAAAGAAAACGGTCATGAAGATTATTTATGTCACCTGGAGCACACAGGCAAGCTTTCCCTAGAGTATAAATCCAGGAGTAGCAGTGCTGGATTCTAAGTTCTGCAAATCTTCACTTTAGCTAGATGACGCTAAACTGTTCTCTGAAGTCATTATGCCTGTTTATATTCCCACCAAATACAAGTTCATTTTGCTCCACATCCTTACCAGTACTTGCAGTTGCCAGACTTGTGCGTTTTGGTTCATCAGAGCTGAGTGTTGTATCATTGTGGTTTTATTTTTGTTGTTTGCTGATTTTTTAATCAAATTGAGCACTGTTTTGCGTGTTTATTGACCTTTTAGATAACCTCTTTTTTATGAATTGCTTGCCTTGTGTCTGTTTTCTGTTGGATTGCTTGTCTTTTTCTCATGATTTGGAGGAGTTCTAACATTTTTCATACTCCTCTTGTTTAGTTAAATGTATTGCAAATTTCTTCCACTCTTTGGCATGTTATTGTCTTTACAGTGTCTTCTGAAGAGCAGATGTTTGTTTGTTTGTTTGTTTGCTTTTTAAAGATTTTATTTGTCTGATAGAGAGTGTGCAAGCAAGAGCAGTGGGTTGGGGCAGAGGGAGAAGTGGACTCAGCCCTTGGGCTGGAGGACCAACTGAGCCACCCAGGCACCCTGAAGAGCAGATGTTTTTAATTGTAAATTTATGGTTAGTGCTTTTTGTGTCTTATTGAGGAACTCCCTTTATATCCTATATCATAATGATCGTCTTCTGTATTATCTTTAGAAGTTTTATTTTTTTACCTTTCACATTTACATCTATAATCCACTTGGGATTGATTTTTGTGTGTGGTTGAAAAAGAAGCCAGTTTCACTGTTTTTAATATATGATCCTAATGAATCTAGCACCAGTTATTGGAAAATCTTTTTCATTGATCTCTGTCAACACCTTTGATATAATGATAAAGCCTATATAAGCACTGGTCTAACTGGAGACACTAAGAAGAAAGATTGTGTGAAAAATAGGAAACAGAAGGCCTAGCACAGAAGATACAGCAGGGAATCCTAAGAAGACCATTCAGTTCACATCAGAGCAGAGCAAGAATATAGTAAAATACTTAAGTTTGCATATACTGAGAGAATAGTTACATAAAGTTGGAGAGAATGTAGGATTGAATTAGTGATAAATGAACAGAAAATTAAGTACAATAGGGATTGAAGCAAATAAAGTATATCACTATTAGAGGAGTAAAAATATTATTGGGAAAAAAATCAATTGTTTATTTTGGGAACTTAAGGAAAAAAGAGGGACCTATATAAAAATAATCACAAAACTTTACTGAGAATCTCAGAAGACCACTTGAGACAAATCAAGAGAAATAGAGCCCTGGAAGAAAAAATGAGTATCATACAGATGCTTCATTTTTTCCAAATTATGTTTTTTCAATAACATCCTAAAATGTAGTGAAGTTCCCGGGATCATCTTGAGGAGTGGACCTGCAAGAATGGATGAGAAATTTTGAAAAAGAACATTAATGAAAGAAGGCTTACCTATCAGATATTAAAATGTATTTTAAAGCTGTAATAATTAGAAGCACTGTGACAGATTATGAGACAGAGTGGCTACATTCGAAGAACCAGATTGAGGAAAATGATTGGTTCATACATTGGCAGAAACAAAAGGAAAAAGATTATTTAACAAACGCTTGGATATTTGGTTAACTTCCATGAAATCATTTAATAATTCACCATATATAAAAAATGAACAAAAAATAAAAATAATTCACCATACATAAAAATTCCAGTTACTGGAGCCTGGCAGACACAGTGTACAGAGTGAGCTAAGCTGCTGCGACCCACTAGAAACTCAAGCAGCTCTGGAGGCACTTGAGGAGGTTGGGGGAGGGGGCGCGGGTGGTGATGCTGGACACACCAACTGAAAAGGTATTGTGGTAGCCTTACATGAAGAACCAGGAAAACCCTAATAGTGCTTTGGACTTGTTAAAGCATCAGTTAGAAGCTGCTAACCCAGAAAATCCAGAAGTAGAGCTGCCTCTCCTAGAATTAAGCAGAAAATGGGAGAGAAATACAAAGCTATTAGTAGAAGAAAGTAAAAAATTGAACATAAAGCTTTCTCAGTATGAACCACCTGAGGAGGGGAAGCATGCTGAATAGGATTCTTCTCAGTTGAAAAGACACCAAAAAGTGGTTTTGTATGACTCGAATAGTTTGTATAGTATATAATCTTTTATGAACAGATGCCATACAACTCTCTTGATAGATTGAATTTACCTGTATCATCACATTTTATTTGAAACACATCTACTGAGAAGCACTGATAATAACTCAATTAAAAAAAATAAAAAACCCTCCAGTTACTGTGTCTTCAGATTCATTCCTCTTTTCTGCAGTGTCTAAGCTGTTGTACTTAATTTATTTTTCATTTCAGGTATTTTATTTTTACTTCTAGAAGTTCCATTTGGGTCTTATATTTTCCCTTACCTCATTATGTTCATTCTTTCCTTGGCATCTTTGTGCATATATATAATATTTATAATAGCTGTTTAAAGGTCTTTGACTGTTAATTTCACTACCTCTGTTATTTCTGTACTATTTTACTGTTTGCTTTTTTCCCCCTCCTTTTTCAATGGGTCCTATTTTTCTGCTTCTTTGCAAGCCTGGAAGTTTTTGACAAGATACGAGATTTTGTGAGGATTTGTTTTGTTTTAACCTTCTTGAGGGCTTGGGTTGAGTGGTGGGTTTTACTCCGGCACATTGCTAAGTCACTTGCAGACTGGTTTGAAGGTTGCTTTTAAGCTTTGTTATGACAGGTTCTTATCAGCCTTTAATCTGAGGCTAATTAAGTCCCAGGACTAAGTTAAAACCTTTCAGAGGAATCCTTCTAGTGCCCTGTGTACTTCAAGAGCTCTTCACTTGGCTGCTGGGAATGCAAACTGTTTCTAGCCGTTAGTGAGCTCCATTTTGTCCTACTTTCTGATAGTACTTTCTCCAGCCTCCCAGCCTCCCAGCTTCATACTCTTACAGATCAATACTCAGCCAAAGACTTGAAAGGATCCCACTGAAAATCTCAGGAACTCCCTCTTTCCCATTCCCCATCTCTCTCTCTTTCTCTTTCTGTTCCCACATCCAGTAGTCTGCCTCACAAATTCTGGCTACCTTGGCCTCCCAGAGCTCTGGCCTCTGTCCTCTCACATCGAGGAGACCTCTGGGCTCTGTTTATGCTCCTGCCTATGCTGGAGCCGGAGTATATTTTCCAGACTGCAAGCTAGGCAGTCATAAGGTTCACCTTGTTTTTTATTTGCCTGTGTGGCAATGACAACGATAAAAGCAGCTATTACTTACGGAATGCCTACTAATAGCCACTTTACATATGTTTTAAGCCTCAAAGTCACCTCATGAAATAGGTATTTTTTTTAATTGACCTTGACATACAATGTTACCTTAGTTTAAGGTGTAACATAGTGAATCAGTGACTCTGTGCTTTATGCTATCCCCCCCCGCCCTGCCAATGGAACTACCATCTATCAGAATACAGCACTATACAGTACCACTCTCTATACTCCCTGTGCTGTACCTTTCATCCTTGTGACTTACTAACTTTTGATAGGAAAGAACACGGAGGTGGCTCAGTTGGTTAAGTGTCTTGACTCTTGATTTCAGATCATGATCTCAGAGTTTGAGATTGAGCCCTGCATCCGGCTTCACACTGGGTGTGGAACCTGCTTAAGATTCTCGCTCTCCCTCTCCCTCTGCCCCTCCATCCTCCCACTCCCTCTCTTTAAAAAAAAAAAAAACGAAGCTCAGGGATGTAAATTTTGTTCATCTTTTCAAAGAACCAGCTCTTGGTTTCATTGATCATTTCTACTGTTTTATTAGACTCTGTTTCATTTACTTCTGTTCTGATCTTCATTACTTACTTCCTTCTGTTAGTTCTGGGCTTTGTTCTTTTTCTACCTCCTTTAAGTGTAAGGTTAAATATACGAGGTTTTTCTTATTTCTTGAGATA